TGCATTTCTCTAATGACTAATGATCGTGAGCATTTCTTCATGTCTCTGTTAGCCGCCTGAATGTCTTCTTTCGTGAAGTGCCTATTCATATCCTTCACCCATTTTTTAAATTCGGTTATTTGTCTTTTTTTGTTGAGGTTTTGCAGTATCTTATAGATTTTAGAGATTAGACGCTGATCGGATTTGTCATAGCCAAAATTTTTTTCCCAGTCCATAGGTTGTCTTTTTATTCTTTTCGTGAAGTCTTTTGATGAGCATAGTGTTCGATTTTCAGGAGCTCCCAGTTATCTAGTTTCTCTTCTGGTGCTTGTGCATGGTTACTTATGGTTTGTATTGTGTTTATGCCATGTATTAGGGCTCCTAGCGTTGTTCGTATTTCCTCGTCCATGGTCTTTATCGTTTTCAATTTTATATTTAAGTCTTTGATCCGTTTTGAGTTAGTTTTTGTGCATGGTGTGAGGTATGGGTCTTGTTTCAGTTTTTTGCAGATGGATATCCAGTTATACCAGCACCGTTTGTTAAAGAGACTATCTTTTCCCCAATTAATGGACTTTAGGCCTTTGTCAAATATCAGGTGCTTTCAGATGGATGAATTTATGTCTGGATTCTCAATTCTGTTCCGTTGGTCTATGTATCTGTGGTTGTACCAGTACCAGGCTGTTTGGACTACCGAGGCGGTATAATAGGTTCTAAAATCAGGTAGTGTGAGGCCTCCCACTTTGTTCTTCTTCTTGAGTAATGCTTTACTTATCTGGGGCCTCCTCCCTTTCCATATGAAGTTGGTGATTTGTTTTTCCATCTCATTTAAAAATGCTGTTGGAATTTAGATCAGGATTGCATTGTATCTGTAGATCGCTTTGGGTAGAATTGACGTTTTCACGATGTTGAGTCTGCCTATCCATGAGCAAGTATGTTTGTCCACTTATGCAGGTCTCTTTTGGTTTCTTGCAGTAGTGTCTTGTAGATTTCATTGTGTAGGTCTTTTACTTCTCTGGTTAGATTTATTCCTAAGTATTTTATCTTCTTGGGGGCTATTGTAAATGGTATTGTTTTGGTGATTTTCTCTTGGAAGTTGAGTTTGTTGGTGTAAAGGAATCCAACTGATTTTTGTATGTTTATCTTGTATCCTGATACTTTGCTGAAATCTTCTATTAGTTCAGTGCTTTCTTGTGGATTCTTTGGGGTTTTCTGTGTATAAGATCGTATCACTGCAAACAGAGATACTTTTACTTCTTCCCTACCAATTTGGATACCTTTTATTTCTTTTTCTAGCCTAATTGCTCTAGCTAGGACCTCCAGCACAATGTTGAATAAGAGTGGTGATAAAGGGCGTCCTTGTCTGGTTCCCATTCTCAAGGGAAATGCTTTCAAACTCTCTCCATTTAGGCTGATGTTGGGTGTTGGCTTTGTATAAATGCCCTTAATTATGTTGAGGAATTTCCCTTCTATTCTTATTTTGTTGAGAATTTTTATCATGAATGGGTGTTGGGCTTTGTCAGATGCCTTTTCTGCATCGATTGATAAGATCATGTGGTTCTTGTCTTTTGTTTTATTAATGTGATGGATTACATTGATTATTTTTCTAATGTTGAACCATTCCTGCGTACCTGGTATAAACCCCACTTGATCATGGTGAATTATGTTTTTGATATATTGCTGAATTCTATTGGCCAAAATTTTGTTGAGGATTTTTGCGTCAACGTTCATGAGCGATATTGGTCTGTAATTTTCTTTTTTTGTGGTGTCTTTACCTGGTTTTGGTATCAGGGTTATGCTGGCTTCATAGAATGAGTTTGGGAGTGTTCCATCCTTTTCTATGCTCTGAAATACCTTTAGTAGTAGTGGTGTTAACTCTTCTCTGACAGTTTGGTAGAATTCTCCAGTGAACTGTCCAGGCCAGGGCTTTTTTTTGGTTGGGATTTTTTTAAATTACCTTTTCAATCTCTTCTTTCATCATAGGTTTATTTAGTTGTTTTACCTCTGTTTGTGTTAGTTTAGGTAGGTAGTGAGTTTCTAGAAATTTGTCCATGTCCTCTAGGTTTTCAAATTTGTTAGAGTACAATTTTTCATAGTATTCTATTATGATTCTTTTAATTTCAGTTGGGTCTGTTGTGATATCACCCATCTCATTTCTTATACTGGTTACTTGCTTCCTCTTCCTGTTTTTCTTTTGTCAGTTTGGCCAGTGGTTTATCAATTTTGTTGATCTTTTCAAAGAACCAGCTTTTGGTCTTGTTAACTCTTTCAATTGTTTTTCTATTCTGTATTTCATTTAATTCTGCTCTAATTCTTACTATTTTCTTTTTTCTGGCACCCAAGGGCTTCTTTTGCTGCTCTCTTTCTACTAATTCGAGTTGTAGGATAAATGTTTTGATTTTGGCCCTTTTTTCTTTTTGGATGTGTGCAGTTCTTGCTAAAAACTGATCTCTGAGCACTATTTGCTGTGTCCCAAAGGTTCTGGTATGATGTGTTTTCATTCTCATTTGATTCTATGAATTTCTTTATTCCATCCTTAATTTCTTCTGTAACCCAGTAGTTTTTGAGTAAGGTGTTGTTCAGTTTCCATGTGTTTGATTTTTTTTTTCCTTGCTTTTTCTGTTATTGATTTCTACTTTTATGGCTTTATGGTCAGAAAAGATGCTTTGTAATATTTCAATCCTTTGATTCTGTTAAGGCTTACTTTGTGGCCTAATATGTGGTCTGTTCTGGAGAATGTTCCATGTGCATTGGAAAAGAAAGTATATTTGGCTGCTGTTGGGTGGAGTGTTTGATATATGTCCATGAGATCAAGTTGGTTGATTGTAGCATTTAGATCCTCTGTGTCTTTATTGAGTTTCTTTCTGGATGTTCTGTCCTTCACCAAAAGTGGTATGTTGAAGTCTCCTATTATTATCGTGGAGCTGTCTATCTCTCCTTTCAACGCTGTTAGAGTTTGTTTTATGTATTTTGGAGCCCTGTCGTTGGGTGCGTAAATGTTTATTATAGTTACGTCCTCCTGGTGTACTGACCTTTTAACCATTATGTAGTGTCCTTCCTTATCGTTTGTGGTGGATTTTACTTTAAAGTCTATTTTGTCAGAGAGTAACATTGCCACTCCTGCTCTTTTTTGAGTGTTGTTTGCTTGGTATATTTTTTTCCATCCTTAGCTTTTAGTTTGTCTGTGTCTTTAAGTCTAAGGTGTGTCTCTTGTAGGCAGCATATACACGGATTGTGTTTTTTTTATCCATTCTGCCACTCTCTGTCTCTTTACTGGTGCATTTAGTCCATTTACATGCAGTGTAATTATTGATAGGTATGAGTTTAGTGCTGTGATTTTGATGTCCTTTTTTGTGCGTTGTTGACAGTCTCTTTGTTCCACTTGATTTTCTGTGTTGAGTTTTCTTTATGTATTTTTTTTCATCTTTTTCATTGTTGGTTTTGTAGTTGTGGAGTCTTCGTATTTTTCTTGCTTTTTATTTTGATGTGTAGAATTGTTAGTTACTTTTGTGGTTACCTTAATATTTGCCTCTATTTTTCTACATTTAAACCAATGTTTTATTTCTTTATATAGCCTTGATTTCCTCTCTGTATGAAAAATCTATGTATACATTTTAGTTCCTCTTTTTTGTTTTATTGTTGTCATCTTTTACATATTGACATCTTTGTTTCCCTATTTTTGATGTTTTAGCTTTGTTATTTTTGTGACTTCCCTATCTGGGTTGGTATCTGGTTGCTCTGTTCTGTGTTTTGTCTTGGGTTGTTATCTGATGTTATTGATTTCCTAAACAGAAGACTCTCTTTAGTATTTCTTGTAATTTTGGTTTGGTTTTTGCAAGTTCCCTAAAATTCTGTTTATCTGGAAATGCCCTAATTTCGCCATCATATTTGAGAGACAATTTTGCTGGATATATAATTCTTGGCTGGCATTTTTTTTTCTTCAAGGCTTTATATATGTCATCCCATTGCCTTCTTGCCTGCATGGTTTCTGCTGAGTGGTCCAAGCTTAATCTTATTGACTCTCCTTTGTAGATGATTTTTCGTTTATTGCTAGCCACTCTTAAAGTTCTCTATCTTTGGTTTTGGCAAGTTTGATTATAATATGTTTTGGTGACTTTCTCTTGGGATCTACCTTATGTGGGGTTCGATGAGCATCTTGGATAGGTATCTTGTCATCTTTCATGATATCAGGGAAGTTTTCTGCCAACAAATCTTCAACAGTTCTTTCTGTATTTTCTGTTATCTCCCCCTGTTCTGGTACTCCAGTCACTTGTAGGTTATTCCTCTTGATAGAATCCCACGTAATTCTTAGGGTTTTTTCATTTTTTAAAATCCTTTTATGTGATTTTTCCTCAAGTAAGTTGGTGTCAAGTACTTTATCTTCAGTCTCACTAATTCTGACTTCCATTGCCTCAATTCTGCTCCTATGACTTTCTATTGAGTTGTCTAATTCTAAAGTTTTATTGTTAATCATCTGGATTTCTGATTGCTGTCTCTCTGTGGATTCTTGCGTCCTGTTAAATTTGTCCTTATGCTCTTCTCTAATCTTCTTAAGTTCCTCTATTGCTAGGTCTGCATTTTGCCAGGTCTCCTTCCTGATCTCTTGAAGAGTTCTATATATTAATCTTTGGTATTCTGCCTCCAATAATTCCAAGAAATTCTTTTCCTCTGGAAAGTTCTTTCTTTATTTTGGGAACTTGCTGAAGCCATCATGGTCTGCTTCCTTATGTGATTTGATATTGACTGTTGTCTCCGAGCCATCAATAAGTTATTATATTTATTTTATGCTTGCTTAGTGTGTCCTAGCTTCTTGCTTCGTTTTGATATGCCTAAATAGGCTGCTCGTGCGGGCTAGTCCAATTACTAGTGCCCCTGAAGCTCCAACGTCCTGCCACGAGGTGGCCAGACCTGCCGCTAAGTATGCGAGCCCAGGAGTCCGCCCACTCCTTCTGTATGGATTCAGCTCAGGTGTCCGGGTAGTCAGCTACCGAGTGTGTGGTGCAGGCTCTCACCTACAGTCCTAGACAGGCATGAGTGATTGGTGTAGGCACAGGCATCTGGCTGCAGCAGGGGGTCACACGCTGAGCAAGGCAGGGGGCCGATGGCTGCCGCCGACTGTCCGTGTTCCCTAGGGCACTTAGGTGAATCGGTTTTGCAGCCAGACGATGAGCACCCAATGCTGTTGGCTATAAGGACTGGGAGGCACCACTTATTCTTGGGCCCCTGTTGCAGGTGACTAGGTGGCGTGGGTGGAGCCACCAGTTCTTAGGCCCCTGATATGAGTAGCTGAAGACCCTGGTTAATAGGCAGAGCAGTGTCAAATGTCCGGAACCTGCCTCTTCACAGCTAAAACAGTTGAAGTTACACTTCAGGTATATACCCTGTTGTACTGTGGTAATGAGGGCCTATACTGTTAAAATGGGCTCATGCAAATCTGTGCAAGGGGAAAGGCATTCAAAGTCCGTGGCCCCATTATGCCTGTGCCTAGGCAAAGGGGCTGTGCCTATCCTGAGTTCCTGGCTTAGGGGAGCCAGCAGATTATTTTTTCCCCTGTTTGTTAATTTGTTCACTCTCCAAGGTTAGGAGAATGGCTTAGGGTGCATGATGGGTCCTACTTTCAGCCCAGGGGACTTGGCAATTGCTGAAGCTGGTCCGGAACCCAGTGCAGAGCAGGGAGCGGGGAGGTAAATGGGAGAGAGGTTTTTCCCAAAGGGGCTATTTTTGATCTGTGTGGTAGGCCAGATTTGTAAGTACTTATCTTTGCTGATCGAGGGCTGCTTGTCACTGGTTCTGGATGGCTGAGTAGACTCTCTGCCGCTGGGTCTGACCCAGTGTGGAAAACGCCTCCTGAGCACTGCTGCTTGCCTGCCTCACCACTCACACATGAGCTCATCTGGCCTGAAGGGCTCAGGCTCTTGCCAGATTAGGTCTGACAACTCCTCGCTGCTTCTGAACCGTCTCTCCCTCCCCCTGCCACTCAGTCCGATTCCTCAACTTTGCCTTTGGTGTTCAGGGTTCCTAGATTGTCGTATATAATCGATTCACTTGTTTTTTTGGGTCTTTGTTGTAAGAGGGACCATTGGAAGTATCTGACTACTCCACCATCTTGGCCTTGCTTCCGCCACCTGGTTCTTGATAAAGGACACAGGCCTGGCCACCGGGGCTCAGAGCTGCCCCCCTTCCCTCTCAGGAGTGCCCGGGGGGTCAGCCACCCTTGGGGTTGGACCGCAGGTGAGGAGGTACCCTCCCTGTGGGCCCCACAGACCCCCAACACCCTGCCCCCACAGACGCAGCAACGGGCCCTCACAGCACGGCAGGTCAAGGAGGCAGAGAAGGAGCTGAATCGGCAGCTGCAGCAGCAGAGGGAGCACTACGAGGCCACCATCCAGCGGCATCTGGCCTTCATCGACCAGGTGAGCCCCATCCTGGAGAAGGTAGGGGCAAGCGGGGCTCCAGAACCTGCCTGGGCACTTCAGGTTGAGTGAGCTGTGGCTGCCGCCCCCACCAGGGCTCTCTGATGTCCCCTGGGCCAAGCGCTCTCAGGTCCCCCTCCTCCGGGAGGCTGAGAGTCTGGAGAGGGTGCAGGCTTGTCTGTGCCCCACCCACCTGCACACCTGCCCACCTGCCCCCACTCACCTGTACTTGCACACCTGCCCTCGCCCCCCCAGCCCAGGGTCTGTCCACAGACCATCGAGGGCCCGGGGTCATGGCTGGGTTCTCTGTGTGGTGCTCGCCTCTCAGCAAGCTGAAGCAGGGTCCCCTGGCAGTGGGGGTCTCATGAGTGAGAGGCCTCATCTTAGCTCAGCAGCTTCACCCCTCCCTCACCTCCTGCTCACAGCTGATTGAGGACAAGAAGGCCCTGGGGGAGAAGTGTGAGGCTGTAGTCGCCGAGCTGCGGCAGGGGGACCACAGGTGGAAGGAGAAGGCAGCCCAGATGCAGACTCAGCATGAGCTGGTGCGCCCCCCACGTCTCCCCACCCTGCCTGGAGTCCCCTGTCCTGCCCACTTCCCCGTGCGGCATCCTCCCCAACCCCCGTCCCCCTCGCCTTGTGTTCCCCCATCTCCCCACCCTCATGCCTCCCCCCCAACCCTACTTCTCCCAGCATTGATCAGTAGGGACCCTGCCACCTCCTGCTCTGCTGGGGAGACTGACCACGAGGCCTGCTTCCCCAGGCTGGGGGTAGGGGCTTGGCCTGGCTGCACTCGCCTGAGTCCACCCCAGACTCCAGGAGCAGGACCCTGGGAGTGGGCTGGCCTGGCATTTTCAAAGCCCCCAGTGCCTGCAGTGGAGGGCCAGGGTTGAGGATGGCCAGCCCCCCACAGGGCAGCCGGGCTCCCCACAGAGGCACAGCCCACTGGCTCCTGTCGCCTAGTGGGGGCCCTGGTCCTTCTGCTGACCCCAGGACTCACTGGAGTGGCGCGTGTGTCCTGGGGGGCCAGGCCATGTGCCGAGTGCACACTGGGGGCCCGAACGCTGTTGTGACTTTGCTGGGTGACCCCAGAAGCCCAGTCTCCCCAAGGGGAGGGGCAGTGGAGGCCGTGGTTTCTCCTCTTCTCCCGGCTCCCCAAGTCTGTGCTGTCAGTCTCCGGTCTTCTCGCTCCCAGGAGCTCAAGAAGCTTAAAGAGTTGATGAGTGCCACCGAGAAAGTCCGCCGTGAGAAGTGGATCAACGAGAAAACCAAGAAGATTAAGGAGATCACAGTCAAGGGTAGGGGTGGGCCGGCGCGAGGACGGAGGGGACGTGGGCCAGACAGGCACGGGACAGAGGGGACGTGGGCCCGGCTTGTGCAGGAGGGAGAGGATGCGGGCCTGGCGTGCACAGGAGGGAGAGGATGTGCTGTCAGTCACACACGTGGTGCAGGAAGACACCCCCACACCCCATTCCCACCACCCCCCTGTGAAGGAGTCAGACCCTCCTGGCGACCCCGGCCCAGCCCCTAATCAGTCAAGACCAGAACTCCCTTGAAAAGCAGGAAGAGCCACTCGCTGGGGTGGCCAGCTGGCCCAGGCAGGGCAGAAGCAGGTCAGTCCTCCAGGCGTGTCTGGCTACAGACGAGCGTCTGGAAAGTGTGGTTGCAGTTCATGGAGAAACAGGGTCAGTGGGGGGTGGGGACTGCCGGGCACCTTGGCCCCCCACGACAAGCTGGCGAGCTGGGGTGCTTGGGCCTGGATGTTGCAGGGCCGACCTCGAGTTCATGAGATTCCAGGGGAGTGAGCCCAAGGCGAGCTCAGGGGATGCTGGACAGCCTCCCATGGGACAGTGTGACTGCCCTCCCCACCTTAGAACAAGGCTTAGGCCCAGGGCTGAGGGCCCAGTGGCCTGCTTGCCTGTGGACACCTGCGTCTTTGTGGCTCCCCCTCCAGGGGAAGCCTGGGCTCCCCCAGACCCCTGGTGGCAGCTCAAGGGGCGCACTCCCCCAGGGCCAGGGGGCTGTGGCTGGGCCACAGTCTGCCGTGCCCCGCCCACCTGCACCCTTATCCAGAGCCCACAGATAAGGCTGGGTCCTGGGGGTGGGGTGTTTAGATGGGACAGTCCTCGTGCCCTGGCGGCACAGCACTGTGGGGCGAGGGTGGAGGATCCAGGGCCAGGCCTCTGCAGCACGGGGTGGGGGCAGGAGGGCAGGAGGGCTGGGTGCAGCGCAGGGCAAGGACAGGGTATCTAGGCCAGGCCTCTGCAGCATGGGGTGAGGGCAGGGCCAGTGGGTATAGTGTGGGGTGAGGGCAGGGGGACTGGGTATAGTATGGGGTGAGGATGGGAGGGCTGGATATAGTATGGGGTGAGGATGGGGAGGCTGGGTATAGTATGGGGTGAAGACAGGGGGGCTGGAGGAGTTGGAGTGTGGCATGGGGTGAAAATGGGGCTCCAGGCCGGGCCTCTGCAGTACAGGGTGAGGGCAGGGGGGCTGGAGGAGTTGGGGTGCAGCATGGGACGAGGACAGGGCTCTAGGGTGGGCCTCTGTAGTGTAGTGCCCCCCCCCAGGCCTGGAGCCCGAGATCCAGAAGCTGATCGCACAGCACAAGCAGGAGGTCAAGAAACTCAAGAGTCTGCACGAGGCAGAGCTGCTGCAGGCGGAGGCGAGGGCCGCTCAGCGCTGTGAGCGCCAGGCCGAGGAGCTGCGGGAGCGCCTGGAGCGCGAGAAGGAGGCGCTGGGGCAGCGGGAGCGGGAGCTGGCCCGGCAGCGGTGCGTTCACCCTGCTCAGCCGGTGGGAGGGGTGGCAGCAGGGCTGGGGTTTGCCAGGAACCTCCGGGTGAAGATCTGCATTTCCTAGAGGCCCGGGGTGTCCTGGTGGGGTAGGGTGCAGCCTCCTAGGGAGGTGGCAGGAGGCAGATTAGTGATCCAGCCCCAGCCAGCCGGGGGTTCTGAGGCCCTACCCTCGGCAGTAACTCCAGCGCCTGGAGTCCTGTACCCCGTTTGTGCGATGAGCATGGTAGCTCGGGTCAGACTTCCTGGCTGTTAGGACCACGCCGTCGATGCCCAGGCGAGGTCAGGTCCAGGTGGGGCAGGGGAGGAGCGTCCAGTGGGTTCCATCAGTGGCAGGAATGGTGCCCCACCCCTGTCCCCACCTTGTGAGCATCCCAGTGCCGTCCCCGCAGGTTCGAGCAGCACCTGGAGCAGGAGCAGCGGACGATGGAGCAGCAGCGGCACAGACTCTACGGCGAGGTGGCCGAGGAGCGGGAGCGGCTGGGCCAGCAGGCAGCCAGGTGCCCTGCACGTGGGGTGGTGTGGAGTGGTGGCCAGCCTGCCCGCAGCCTGCCAAGCTGACCTCCCCGGCCCGCAGGCAGCGTGCCGAGCTGGAGGCGCTAAGGCAGCAGCTGGAGGAGAGCAGCGCAGCCACGGGCCGGGCCTTGCGGGCTGAGTTTGAGAAGGCAGCCGAGGAGCAGGAGCGCCGGCACCAGGTCCCCCCCACTTCCTCCACCCAGCGCTGTGGTGAGGGGTGGGTGGCACCTTGGGGCACACCACCAGGCCCCCATTGCCTCCGGGGGTATCGCAGCCTGGAGCGCTATGCAGAGGGGCTCACATGAGGGGCTGCCCTGGACTCCGCCTCCACCTGCCAGGCCCCTGCAGTCTGGCAGACTCTCGACCTGTCCAGGCGGCAGGCCCTGAGGGGGTGGCCGGCGGGGCCTATGCTCACAGGCTGTCACCTGCTCCCCAGGTGGAGCTGCAGACCCTGAAGGATCAGCTGGAGGCAGAGCGGCAGGTGTGGGAGGCCAGCCATGCCAAGAAGGAGGTGGGAAATGGGGGTCTGGGGGCCGGGGGGCCAGGGGCCAGCTATGCCAAGAGGAGGTGGGGGCCGGGGGCCAGCTTCACTAAGCAAGAGATAGGGTCCAGGGGCCAGCTACGCCAACAGGCGGTGGGGAATGCGGGTCTGGGGGCCAGGAGGCCAGGGGCCAGCTAAGCCAAGAGGAGGTGGGGAATGGGCGTCTGGGGGCCAGGAGGCCAGGGGCCAGCTAAGCCAAGAGGAGGTGGGGAATGGGGGTCTGGGGGCCAGGAGGCCAGGGGCCAGCTAAGCCAAGAGGAGGTGGGGAATGGGGGTCTGGGGGCCAGGAGGCCAGGGGCCAGCTAAGCC